GCTGCTGCTGCTGCTGCTGCTGCTGCTGCTGCTGCTGCTGCTGCTGCTGCTGCTGCTGCTGCTGTTGGGGTTGCTGCTGCTGGGGAGGGGGTTGGGATGCTTCTGCTGCTGCTGCTGAAGCTGCTGTTGCTGCTGCTGCTCATGGGGGTGGGATTGCTGCTGTTGCTGAAGCTGCTGCTGCTGCTGCTGTTGGGCCCGGGACTGCTGCTGCTGCTGAAGCTCCTGCTGCGGACTGCCGCGGAGTCTCCCATCTGCTGCTGCTGCTGCTGCTGCTGCGCTGCAGAGGTATTCGTGTGGGGGGCATGCCCAACAGTCCCATCAGCTGCTGCCGCAGCACCGCAGCGGCAGCAGCAGCAGCAGCAGCAGCAGCAGCAGCAGTTGCGGCGGCCAAAGGAGCTGCCTGCTGCCAGCTCCAGCCGCCCCAGCACCGCGAAACTCCCCGCAGCCAGCAGCAGCAGCAGCAGCAGCAGCAGCAGCAGCAGCAGCAGCAGCAGGACCCTTGAGTTGTTCTTCAAGCCCCTGCCCGTCAAGTACACGCGAGTGCAGCAGCACTCCGCAGGAGGGGGGCCCCCGGGGGGCCCCCCGGGGGCCCCCTCGGGGGCCCCTGGGGACTGGCAAGAGCAGCCAATGCAGCATGGGGCCCCCTCGCTGCAGTTCATTTGCGTTTCGGACTTTGCTGGCGCTGCCCTCACAGCTAATGGCCAGTAGGTCCATTTCGTACCCTCCGGGGGCCCCCCGGGGGGCCCCCGGGGACCCCCCGGGGGCCCCCTGGGGGCCCCCTGAGGGGCCCCCTAAGGGGCCCCTGGGGGCCTCCTTGAGGGCCTCTGTGGGGACCCTCAGGGGCCCCCTGGGGGTCCCAGGGGGCCCCAGAGGGTCTTCAGACTAGCGGCGCCGGGGGGCCCCTAGGAGCTTTCAAGGGGCCCCTTTTGAGGGCCCTGTACCCACTTTGTGCAGCCAAGCTAAGCCAGCTGTGCTGCTGCTGCTGCTGCTGCTGCTGCTGCTGCTGCAGGGCTGCACGTTTGCTGCTGTTTTCTCTGCTGCAGGCTTTGTCTGTGGCGCTCTGGAGTGAGGCCCCCAGAAATGCATTTGGTGACGCATGCAGGGGGCCCCCCGCGCAGTACCCAGGGGCCCCCGCACAGGGGGCCCCCAGGGGGGGGCCCCCCGGAGGGGCCCCCGGGGGGCCCCCCCGGGACCCCCCTGCCCCCCTTTGTCAGCATATCCTTTGGGGGCCCCCACAAGCTGCTGGGGCTGACAGCTGACGGGTTGCTGTACTCTTTGCCTATCCATGCAGCAGCAGGAAGTGAGGGGGGCCCCTCTGCTGCAGCTGGTGGCGGCGCTGCTGCTGCCGCTGCTGCTGCTGCTGCTGCTGCTGCTGCTGCAGTGGGTACGCCGCAGCTGCTGCCTTTGGGCGGAGTAGCAGCAGCATCAGCCAGCAGGTGCCACGGCGCTGCTGTTGTCTCCCTGGCCCTGCCTTTATTCCCCGTGGTGTTCCCACTCTCGCAGCAGCAGCAGCAGCAGCAGCAGCAGCAGCAGCAGCAGCAGCAGCAGCAGCAGCAACAGCTGGCCGAGTTTCCTTCGCTCGCGTCTCTGTGCTGCAGCAAATTGGTTTCCCGCTGCACCAGCATTTCAGATCTGCTGCAGCTTTCAGGTGTATGTACACGGCTGCTGCTGCAGGAGCTGTATGACTTTTGCTGCTGCGCCTTGTTGCTGAACCTGCCGCTGCTGCTGCTGCAGCTGCAGCAGCAGCAGCAGCAGCACACTCAGCACCCCCACCGCCCCCTGCTGCTGCAGCGTGCTGCTGCAGCAGGCATGCAGCTGCTGCTGGCGCAGCTAGCAGATGAGGGGGCCCTCAGGGGGGCCCCCAGCAGCGACCCAGGCTCCCCTCGGGCCCTGGGGGGCCCCCCTGAGGGGCCCTTTGCTGCTGAAGCAGACACCTATGGGGGCCCCCCTCTCTACCGTACCCAAAATGGGGGGCCCCAGGAGGGGGGCCCCCCTGAGGGAGGGGCCCCCGTGGGGGGGGCCCCCCTCGGGGGCCCCCTGCCCGCTGTGTTTGCATGCATTTCAAGGCCCCCAGGGGCCCTCCTAGGGGCCCCTGGGGGGCCCCCAAGGGACCTGTGGCTCAGCACTTTAGCTTTAGAAGAGGGGCCCCCCTGGGAAGCAGCAGAGGCAGCAGAAGCTGCTGCTGCGGGCGTGCGCGCAAGGGACTCAAAGGGGCAGCAGCAACAGCAGCAGCAGCAACAGAAGCAGCAGCAGCAGAAGCAGCAGCAGAAGTCGACGCAGCCGCAAAATAAAGACCCCCGGCACCAGGGCCGGCAGAAGCAGCAAAGGAAGCAGCAGGACCAACAGCACGCCAAGCACCAGCAGCAGCAGCAGCAGCAACAGCAGCGGCAGCAGCAGCAGCAGCAGCAGCAGCAGCAGCAGCAGCAGCAGCAGCAACAGGATCGTCTGTCAGCTGCTGCGCCGTGGGCCTTTCCAGAAGCAGCAGGGGGCCCACAGTCAAGTTCAGGGGCCCCGTCGCCACTTTATGCTGCGGCAGCACCCCTGCAGCAGCAGCAGCAGCAGCAGCAGCAGCTGCAGCAGCAGGTTCCACCGCAGAGGAGGAAGCAGCAGCAAGGGCCACAGCAGCAGCAGCAGCACACAGACGACGAGTGGCAGCAGGCTAGGGCCCCCCGGGGGCCCCGCGGGGGCAGCTACTCCTCTACAGTTAGCAGCAGATCTCAAGAAAGTCCCTATCTAGGGGCCCCCCAAAGTTCCTTGGTGGGGCCCCGCTGCAGCCCTATGGGGGGCCCCCCTGGGGGCCCCCCAGCAAGGGCCCTGTGGGGCCCCCCTTTGCCGCCCGCGAGAACGGCAAGGGAGGGCCCCCAGGGGCCCCCAGCAGCAGCAGCAGCAGCAGCAGCAGCAGCAGCAGCAGCGAGGGGGGCCCCCATGAGGGTCGCTTTGGAGGCCCTAGTGCGGGTAAGGCCCAGCAAAAGGTCCTTAACGCTGCAGAGCCTTTTGGCTGAGAGGCCCGAGGGGGGCCCCCTAGAGGGGGGCCCCCTAGAGGGGGGCCCCCTAAAGGGGGGCCCCCTAGAGGCGCGGGGGCCCCCCGCTGAGGGGCGGCGGGCCTGGGGGCCCCCGCAGGCGGGCGCAGCAGCAGCAGCAACAACCAGCATCAGGGAAGTCATGAAAGAGGAGCTGCAGCAGCAGCAGCACCTGCTGCAGCAGCAACAGAAGCAGCAGCAGCAGCAGCAGCAGCAGCAGCCACGGGAGCGCGCGCCCCGGGCCTTAGTCGCTAGCGCGCGCTCAAGGGGGGGGCCCCCGGGGGCCCCCAAGACCCGGGGGGGCCCCCTACTGGACCCTAGCTGCAACAAATGGGGCCCCCAAGCAGCAGCAAGGGTACAGGGTACTGCCCCACAGGGCCCCACACTTTCCGAAATAGAAGAGGAGGAAAGAGAGACAGCTTTGGCCATTTTGTTGGTTGAAGAGTCTCTGTTTTATGAGCAGTTTATGGAGACAGAGGGGCCCCCCGAGGGGCCCCCCGGGGGCCCCCCGGGGGGGCCCCCAGAGGGGGGCCCCCACGCCTTGGGGGGCCCCCGGCAGGGGGCCCCCGCCTCTAGGGGCGGCCCCAGACGGGGGCCCCGCTCTCCTTTACAGGGTACTGAGACCCGCAAGCGAAATGAAGCTGGGGGCCCCCAAGGGCAGCTGCCAGGGGCCCCCAGGGGGGCCCCCCCCAGGGGGAGAGGCAGGGGGGGCCCCCCAAGGGAGGGCCAGAGGGGCAAAGAGGACCCAGGGGGGCCCCCCAAGGCTGCGCAGCCCCGCACCCGGGGGGCCCCCAGAGGAAGGGGCCCCCCGGCGGGGGGCCCCCCTTGAGGCTTTTGTTTGCTGCTTGCCAGCCCCACAAAGAGGGGCCCCCTGAGGGGCCCCTCGGCATTATAGAAGGCATTCCGATGGATGGGGGCCCCCTGAGGGGCCCCTAAGGGGCCCCTTCTTTCACCAGCTTGTGGGGGCCCCCCAAGGCCCGCAAGGGGCCCCCACAACGCCCTTTGAGGCCCCCCAAGACCTGCTGCTGCTTGGGGCCCCCGCAGCAGCAGCAGCTGCTGCTGCTGCCTTTCAAAAGCCCCCGCGTGCCCGCAGGGCCGCTGTGGGGGCCCCCCAAGGGCCTCTCGGGGGCCCCCTAGGGGCCCCCAACGACTACCTGGGGGCCCCCAGGGGCCCCGAAGGGCCTTTTCGGGTCCCCTGAATGCCGCCAAGGGCCCCAAGGGGCCCCCGGGGGCCCCCGAGGTCCCCTGAAAGCCCCCGGGGGCCCCAGGGGGCCCCTGGGGTCCCCCGGGGTCCCCTGAAAGCCCCCGGGGTCCCCAGGGGGCCCCCGGGGGCCCCCGGGGCCCCCGTTAAGGCGTGGGATCTCTGTGGGACAAGAGGGCCTCGGAGGCCTGGGAAATAACTGCAGCAATTCGGGGAGGGCAAAGGGCCCTGGCTTGGGGGGGGCCCCCCTGGAGCTGCTCAGCAAGGGTCAGGAGGCCCCTGAGCTCGCGGGCCTCCTCGAGGCCCAAGGGGGGCCCCTCTGCTTCCTTTTCGGGTCTTCTTTTGGGGCCCCTGCGGTCTTCCCTCCGGCCCGAGGGGCTTATGCTGCTGCTGCTGCTGCTGCTGCTGCTGCTCGGCCTCTCCAGGATGTCCTGTATCCTGCAGCAACGCCGGCAGCAGCAGCAGCAGCAGCAGCAGCAGCAGCAGCAGCAACGGCAGCAACGGCCCAAGTCAGGAGCGGAGCTCGCAGCAGCTGCTGGTGCTGTGAGCCCAGCAGCAGCAGCAGCAGCAGCAGCAGCAGCAGCAACACACGGCAGCAACAGCGAGGCCGCGAACCAGAGGCAGAAACGCCGACTCGCAGCAGCAGCACAAGCAGCAGCTGCAGCAGCACTGCCAACAGCAGCAACAGCAGCAGCGTTAGCAGCAGCAGCAGCAGTAGTAGTTGCAACAGCAGCAACAGCAGCAAGACTAGCACCAGCACGAGCACAAGCAGGAGCAGCAGCACTTGCAGCAGCAGCAGCAGCAGCAGCAGCAGCAGCACTGACAGCAGCAGGAGGAACACTAACAGCAAGAGGAGCACTGGCAGCAGCGGAAGCCCCGGCCGCTGCACCAGCAGCAGCAGCAGCAGCTCCAGCAGCAGCAGCAGCAGCAGCAGCCGCAGCAGCAGCAGCAGCAGCAGCAGCAGCAGCAGGTACCTCTGCGCAGCCCTGAAGAGCTGCAGCGTGCGGTCGAGGCGGGCGACGGCCTGCTGCTGGGGGCCCCCCAGGGGGCCCCCCAGCTTGGCAGCTTTGGTTTGCTGCAGCAGCTGCTGCAGCTGCAGCAGCTGCTGCAGCAGCTTTTCAAGACTTTCAACTTTTAAATCTTTTGCTGCTTCTTCATTCAAAACTATTTCCAAAGTCCCCAGCAGCTCCAGCCGCCGCTGCTGCAGCAGCCGCAGGGCCTCGCGGCGTTCTGCCT